ATGTGCAACAAGCCCGAGTGCCGTGTTGCAGCTACTTTCTTGCACACATCACTGCTTGCAACAGACAACTACCAGCTGTGTTTGTTTTTGCGCTTAGTATGCCTCATTTCCTCACGGCTGTACTTGTGGATGTGCAGTCTTACTTAGCGTGGGTCAACGGGCAAACAGACGCACGGTGCCTCGACCAATCTAAATGAGTCTCGTATGGCTTAGTCCTGCCATTCCGAATATCAATAAATGCAGCCAGTCAACTGATGCGATGTCAACCTATGCTTAGTAAATCCCTGTACCCCTCACCCCGCCTGCCCCCAATAATGGAAATTACCAAACATGATGCTCACTGAACCCAGTCAATTGATCTAGCATTGGCAAGCATTGCCCCATTTGTTGAGCCTGCCCCGGGATCAACACTGTAGTCCAAGGGCATTTACGACTCTGTTCAGGCTGACCAGCAAACCTCATTGGGTCATTGCTCAAGTTTGAGTTGCTGTGGAAGTTTGCAAGCAGAGGGAACCAGCTTCAGGCGCCAGAAGCCGCATGTGAGCCTCAGCTGCAGATGACTTGTAGATCGTAGGTAGCTGAGGCTCAGGGCCTTAGAAGACTTCGAGTTGTGCTCGGGAAACTATGGGTGGTGTTCTCGCGAGCCACAGAAATGGAGTTCAGATGCTCCGCTGGTAAACGTGCCGGGCCCCTCTCAGAATGGGCATGTTTCGTTGAGAAGTACGCTGCGTGGTAGGCTTGAATTACATCAACCGGTCGATTTTGAATCTGGATTTTGGTGCATGTTGAATCAAAACATCGGGCATGCTAGAGCATCATCTTAATTCTTATTATCCAACTCTCATCATCATATCCACGGCAACAGCATAGCAACAGCAACAGCAGCATCAACAGCAGAAGCAACATCAACAACAGCAACAGCAAAAGCTTCAATAATCGTACTCACAACCGCACGCACACAAACACAACGGGGGCCAAACAGCAACGTAATCTCAATCACAATCACAATTGCGCTGGCAACGACAAGACAACCACTCAACAATCGTGAACACCAGCAACAGGCAGAAAGCAACCCGCACCAAACAGCAACCATTCACCGCCACTGTTCTTTGTGTTTGTTGGTTTGGATTGTGGTGTCTTTGCTTTCTGTAAACCATGCTTCAAGCAATGTTCTCAGGCATGCATGTTGGTGGAACATCAATACACATACTTACCCACTAAGTTGGTGAAGTGATCGTGGTTCGGTAGCAATCAAGCTTTCGCTTGTTGCCGCCTAACAGCTAGGTTCACAGGAGTGCACGAGAGTATAGCTGTTGCAGGAGAGGAAGGCGGCGTAACCACCTGCAGCAAGGTAGCGCCTAATCACGTGGCCCAGCATCTCAAAGGACCTACAAATGCCCAGCAACACTACGACACGAACTTGCAAATCGCATCCTTGTGTTTTGTCCGCTGCCATGCATCCAAGGATGCATGGCCATGTCCAACTTGTCGCATTGATTGACCTTGTGTCAAGGTCATCGATCTATCAGAGCCTGCTGACCCGTCGATCTGCGCTCGTTGCCGGCGGCCGCTCTGGAAAAAGACGCTCGACTGCATTGAGTGGCGGCATGGCTAGAGCTTTGGGTTTCATGGACAACTTGGTGTGTCTTAAAACGTGGGACCCTCCAAAAAGTGGTACAATAGGTGTCCTTTTGGCTTCCCTTTCAATCAACCTCAAAAGCGAGACACCCAAACAAGTTGATTTCACAGGCGGGGATAACTTATTATTGACAAACACTGTGCCTGCACGAGTGTGCATGAGGTATCACCGGATTGCAAGCCACATGTGGAGGTCCCTGAAACCCACCAATCACCCGTAGGTAAGCAGGTAAAACAATCGTAGGAAGAGAACAAAATCTCGGTCGGAACCCTGCCCCTACAAGCCGTTTCCCCTGTTCTGCTAGCAGCGAATCGGATGCCGCCTTTTAGGGGTTCCACTTCAGTCTCAACAGACGTTTACTTCGGTTCATATGGGGAGAGCTTGTTTCAAGCTTGCTATTGGGTTTGATCTTACTTTAACTTTTTGGTTGAAATCAAGTTGGGTTTTGCACTAAACCCACAGAAAGTTGAGCTTTTGGCAGAGGGGCCAACAGCAACCAAGCAAGGGAGAGTCTTCGTGGCGTTCCTTATCAATGAACCGCAGGGTGAAGGCCAGACGCCTTGGCCAGACCTCCGAGGCATCAGGAGGCATGCGCGGTACACCGCTGTTGTGACGCATACGAGCGTAGGGGAGGGTGGCGACTAATATGTTAGCTACTTCTAGTTTAGCATAAGGAGGTGGGAAAAGAATGTCATTTGGCAATTGTGACACTACATCATTGATTTGATGCGCGCAGATCACCCAGCTCGTATCTGCAAGTTCCCACCAAGCTGACAGCCGCCAAACACCTACCAGACAAGAGCAGTCACGCCTTCCCAAGAGCTCAGGGTGCAACTGGAAACCGGTGTTGCTCACTGTCTGGCCTCTTGTGCAAGGAGTATAGCGTGTCCAAGGATTTCGCCTTTCGCTCTGCGGTGCTTGATGCGCGTCTTGTTGGGAGGTTGCCTGAGGCCTGGTTTCATGTGTATTTATATATATATATATATACACACTTATTTGCATATATCATGTATATGCAGCTATATGCATATAATCGATTTATTGTGCCACCTTAAACTGGTTTTTGTAAACCCGACTTTGTTTCCTGCATTTCGACCTACCCACCGTCTCAGGCTGCCGCGATACCATGCCGCGGACGATGCCTTGAAGGGCGTGGGAGAGCTGCCGCAGCTCGCGCGGCTTCGCGCCTACCGCCGCACAGCAGAGAGGCGCCGAGCTCGATTCGTCGAGCCAGGCCGCGGCTTGGTCATCTAGGTGCCCCAGTAGTGCCCATTTACCGTTTCTTTTTTTGGGGAGGGTTCCCCTACTAAAATAAACTACAGAAAAAAGGGTACCCTTATTCTAACCTCTCTTCTGGAGGACCTAGTCATAGCTTGGGCTCCAAGCTCATGTGAGTCACAATCAAACCCGGGTAGATGAAGGTTAGTAAGGGAAAGTCCCAAGTATAAATAGGTGCGGCCGCCTTCTGAATCCTTTACATGGTTCTGGGTTCACTATTTTTGTACCGCGTTTTGATTATGACTCTGACAACAAATGTAGGGCCTCACATGGGCTACCGTGAATTGGGGATGTCAAGGAAAGCACCGGCAATTGACAAGCTCGCTTGGAAAGACGAGGTCCCGATGGGGAAGGCCTTTTACTGGCGGATTCCTTTTGTCAGGTCTTGTAAATTTGTGCTTGGCTTTGCAGAATCTAGAGACCCAACCATGTCGCCATGGTGCAAGAGTCTCAAAACTTGGCGGTCAGAGGGTGTGCTGCCTTCATGTTCAATTTGTGCTGTACCTTGGTTATCTCACATGTGAGGTCCAAACTCTGATCGATTTTGGAACAAGGTGAATCCGGTTTTTGAGCATGGTCAAAGCCACTACTGGCCATGGTTCCTGTTGGCTTCACATCAGATCGGGGCTTCTTTCCCGTGGCGTTTTTGCGTTGCAAGGCAGGAAGGCCTTCCCCCTTGCTTCCAAAGCGGCGTCAGTTGGCATTTTCACATTGTTGGGCCGCTTGTCCGCTTTGAGAAGTCAAGTGAAGGCGCTGGCTGGGATATTTCTTGGCTCCTAAGATACTTGGGTTGTAGGGGACCCCGATAATATGATTTTCCTCTGGTTTCCCTTTACACACGACACAAAGGGTACCCTCAAAAAGTCACACACCCAAGTGGAGGTGTTGTTCATGCCAGCCAACTACCCATGAACAGAACCTGGGAAAGAGGAGGGTTTAGCTCTCTAATGCGAGCCCAAAGCAACATAGATGCAGAAGCTGTGGAACTGAGTAACAAGTAGGCTACTGGCCAGCCAGCACGCCAGCCAACCAGCACATCTTTGCCAACTCAAGCCAAACGAAACATCTGTGTTCTAAAAGGGGATACCAAAGAATGGTTGGTCCCTCAGGTTTCCATTCAAGCGTCACTGTTGTGCGGTTCCAGCCGGAAGCCACCCTTCTACTCCCCCCGGGGTCTCTGAGGTAACTGCGAGAGGCGCAAGGATCATGATACGTCAACAAGAGCAAGTCTCAAGAAAAAGGGCAAATCTGCTTGATCCTTGAACCAGTTGCCAAATAGACCCGAAAACAACCAGGCCGAAACCGCGTGACCCAGCTGAAAGCGGCTGGACTTGTTTGAATCTGGCTTTCCAGATTTGATACGTGTTTCAGGACCCTTGATTGATGTATATATATATATATTATAATATAGAGGTTCCGTTTTGCAGTCAAAGATCCTGGCAACCTGTTTTGGTCAACTTGTTTTTCTACAACCTAGGTCTGCATCTCGTCATCACCACGCAGCGGCGTAGACTTGGGCAAATTACAGAGGCCTGACTCACCCAGGGATTTGGTTTGTGCCCCAAAGTTCCGTTTATAGGCGGGGGGTCCCCTTTGGCGCTGGTGCGCACCCAGAATTCATGAAAATCCCCTTCCCCAAAACTGGAAGATCGCAGGCAGGGTCTGCCCTTCACCATCTCGGAGCGCAGCGCTTGCGCGATGATGCGGCGTGACTCCCCGCGAAAATGGTAAGGGGGGCTTTGGTGGTTGGGGCTGGGTCTAAACGGGGCCCCGGTTTCTTCAACCCCACCACCTGTTGTTTGACTCTACCGCTTGGTTTTGGGGGCCAACAAACAGAGCGGGGAGTCGGCGAAAACAGGGTTTCTTCTACCCGACCCCCAAGCTCTAATGAGCCAACCACAAGCCACTATTAGACTCATAAATGTGTTAGGAGTTAGGAGAGTTCATTTCAGATACAGGGGCCCTCTCCCAGAAAAGTTCTGCACGGTCACGGAGTGTTGCTTTGTTTTCCGAAAGGGGTTTCAACTGGTAAACCTGCTAGGATTCCTGCTAGAGGTCTTGCTTAAGAGAAAGTTAAATGTGAGCCTGGGGCCTGAATAGGTCTTTTGTTGGAGGGACTTTACTCAGGACTGAACATTGGACACCTTGTTTGACTCATTCCGAGTCAGTGTTACGTGGCGCACTCGACGTGTTATTGCTTTCAACCAACAAGTCCCTTTGGCTGCGGGCTGTGGAATTGTGAAAACCGTTGTTCAAATGGTTCCTTACATTATAAAAGCCACAAAGAGGATGGCCCCTTGATTTCGGCCAAAGAAGGTAGTAGCCCTAGCCCTCTAGCACTCATTCCCTTTGGGGTATCTCAACTATTTCTGTTGAGAAAGCAAACAGTGTCGAACAGCACCTTTTTTGTATGTGCCACTACGCCCCTTTTTATGAGCACTGTATATTTAATTCTGTGAGATCTTGCTGGCATGTTCAACCTGAGGTTCTTGCTTTTCAGGACGCAAAAGGTGAGCCTTTCTCCTGTAGAGAGTTGGATGCATTACTTGCAACTGCCCCCTTGTTTCCATGATATGTTTTAAACTCCTGAACATATTGTATGATCTCCGAGGAGAAGAATCCATGAGACGGAATGGGGACTCCGCCCTTGAACCGCTGCATGACTCAGAATTGAACATCTTCCATGGAGTGGATCTGTTTTGCCTAGACACCTTAGGGACGGAACCCCTTGCCTTGAGCAGGTTTCTCGTTTTGAGACCTATCTATGGGAGCCCCCTATGTATAGAAACACATTGGAGGTGTGTTGAAGGCTCGCCGTCGTGAGAGTTGCCAATGGATTCCTCAGGGCCAGTTCCGGTTCCGGTTCCGCCCTTCCTTCCCACCATGAAATCGACATTAGCTGGAGGTCCGACTGGGTCCCCCAAAAGCTCTTTATCCGTGTTGTTGGATGTTGGATGCCCGGAGTTTGTTCAAGACAATCGTGGTTTCAACATGTTTGAACACGGGGTTGGCGCGACCCTGATTACCACAACGCTTCTCCGAAGGATGCTCCATGTTAGTTTGGGATTCTGCTTGTTTGTTGTTGGGCCACCCTGTTCAGGGTTTCCCTTTGCTGGTCGGAACACACATGCATTGCTCGGTGGGTCCCACTTGCCACAGATAGGATCAACCAATCAGCGTCAGCTGGACCCATTCAAACTGAAACCCAAGGGAGTTCAGATTGGGTATATCTTACAAGTCATACGTAGGGACATGGTGTATGGGGAAGGTCCCGGGCTTGTTCCCCTGTGGATAAAACCCGCTCGACATTTCCTCGTTGCTTCTTTGAGTTGTGCTTCAATTGATTTAAAACAACGTTAGCCAATTTTGCTTGGGTATCAACACATTTAACCGGATTTGGTTGGTTGGTTGGTGGATATCATTGGAGTGTATTTAACCAAGTTTAAACTCACCCGTTTCTTGTTTGGTTGTTTTATTTGTTGCTTGTTGTTATTTGGTTGTCTTTTGGGCGTTGTTGTGGTTGTTGTGCTTGTTGTTGCTGCTGTGGTTGGCAGGCTGGTTGGCTGGCTGGCTGGTTCGCTGGTTGGCTGGTTGGCTGGTTGGCTGGTTGTTGTTGGTTGGTTCTTGTTGTTTTTTGATTTTGTTTGGTTGGTGATCAACCCACTTGGTGGCTTGGTTGTTCTTTGGTTGTTGTTTTTTGTTGTTGTTGCCGTTGTTTGGTTGTTGTTTGGTTGTTATTTGGCTTGTTTGGCTGGCTGGTTAGTTTTGATTGGTGGTCTCTTTGTTTGGTCTGTTGTTTGTTTGGTTTGCTTGTCTTGTCTGTTTATTGTTTGGTTCAGTTGCTGGTGGTCTGTTTATTCGGATGTTGTTTGCTTGTTTGTTTGTGTGTTTGTTTCAGATTCCAATCAAACCCTAAGCAACACCCTCAGCGCAAATGTTTCAAATCCAGATGAGCCACAATCAAAACCCGGGTAGATGAAGATAAGGAGCAGTCCCAGCCAGAAATAGGCGCGAATATCCGCCTTCTTAATTATTTTGCATGGTTCTGGGTTCACCATTTTTGTACCGATCGGTTTTGACTCAGATGGTACCATTTATACCATTATTGTACCATTTTTGTACCAGTTTTTTTGTACCAGGTTTTTTGTACCAGGTTTTTTGTACCAGGTTTTTTGTATCAGGTTGTTTGGTTTTGATTGTGACTCAGACTTTGGCTCCACCCCCTTCTCGAGCGATCGATCAGGCGCCTGCCTCGGCTGCGGCGCTGCGGCGCCCTCCCGGGGCCACGGCCTCACGCGGCTGCGGCGCTGGCCGAAGCGAATTCCCCCCGCCGCGCGGCCGGCGCGGGGCGGCTTCATGGGCCCCTACGACGAGGAGACGCCCAGGGCGGACGCGTCGACGCCCGCGCCAAGAAACAAATTTCCCGGGTGGGCGACCTGGGCAACTTTGGAGCTTGAACAACTTGGAAAAAAGAGGTTGGCAACTTTGGACCCTGGGAACAAAGTCAAGTCTTGGTCCTGGATTTATAATTTTGGCTGGTCTTCGGAGTTGGCGGTTTGCCCTGTTTCTGGAATGCGTGTGCTTTGCCCGCGCAGGCAAACTGTCAAGCAGTGAACAACTGTTGTCGGGGAAGTTCGCCAGCGACACTTGACCTGTTGGCTTTGCACTTTTGGTGTACTTTCAGTCAGGGACCTTGGTGAACCGGTGTTGAGCTATCAGGTCCGTTGGGGCATAGAAACGAGTTCCTGACGAAGAGACCGAAAAGGTAGGAAAGCTGCCTGGCTCACACAGTTCACCGGTACAGAGGGGAGCAGCCAGACAAAAGGATGAAATTGATGAGTGACTTGCTGTTTTCGGTTAGTTCCCGAGATCTACGGATGGATGAAGCCCTATAAATACTGGAATAAACCACCTATCAACAGGAGCAAATTGTCCATTCACAGTATGGTTTTGAGATAGCAAAAGTCACAGATTGGCGATTCACATGGGCTGTTGGAGCCGCTGTGATTTCCTAGGCTTCCGGGTAGCGCAGATTACGAAAAGACCTGCCTGACGGGCTTCGGAACTCCTTCGGTTTGAAGCCTCCTTTGGCGATAAAAATTGCCAGTGACGGCTCGAACGGTCAGGAGAACCTCGCCCCTGCCTGCAGCATGTGCAACATGATGAAAGGCGCGAGGCGAAGTCTGTGGAGCTCAGGGGCAAATGATACTTTGACCAAGCATGAGGAGACCATTCTTTCTGAGGGGGTTTGGGGGGGGGGGGGGGGCTAAGCCTTGTTCGGGCTTTGGGGGGAGGGAACCATAACGTTTGTTGGTATTAACAGGGGAATCGAATCATTCCAAAGTTGCTTAGGTGGTGCAGATTCTGTCCATCCACAGCAGGCTTTATTTACATTGGCTTTCACATTCCTCTGCGTGCCAATAGTCGCGGAAGCCAAGCTTTTAAAGCCGAAGCCACTGCAGATGAACCACATGTACCGTGGAAGGAACTGTTGGCTGCGGAAGGGTCGGAAGCTTGAGTATTTGAGAAGCAACGCAAAAAAGGGCGCACACACACACACACACCATTCAACGGTTCATGGTCCAGGTCACTTTGGATGCAAGTTCCGGGAAGCCAGCAGGCGTTCCTCTGCGCCAGAAGCGTACAGATAAGAAGACCATAGCCTCTGCAGCTTGCACCATGAATGTGACATGGATATGTTTGGAGCTTTGCGTAACAGGGCCTCAGTGCTGAGTGCCTCCACGAGAGGTGCTTGCCAAACAGACAGGAGCATCGCCTGGTCCCCCCCCCCCCCCAACCCGCTTTTGTGATAATTGGATGGTCCCCCATTGTCCTCTTGCATATGACTTGCCAACTCCTTCAATGGCATAATCGACCCCAATAGCGTCCAGGGGTGCTCAAAGGGTTCTCAGCTTTGGCAAATGCGAAACCACGGGTGGGGCCGGTGGGGCCATTTGGGCGCGCAAGGCTACCGCACTCTTCGGGGCTTTGTCGAGTGCTGTCGACATATCGCCACGAAGCACACTGAAGGCGTGGAGAGTTCTTTGAAAGCTGCGGTGGATGCTTTAAATGGCTGTGGGTCAAAAATCGGGTAACCCCAAAATTGCTTGCCCTGGTAAATGGAAACATGCATTAAAACCTCGGTTGAATGGTGGTGTAATTTTGAGCCATACCCAAGCATTGTAAGTAAACTACGAACCATGGGAATGTCCACCGTTTCCCTTTTCCCTACTTGCAATATTGAGGGCATCCTCCACCACATGGAGTGGGAACTTGCGAGTTGGCCACGGTGTGAGGGTATGTGCTGAACGTGGGACCCAAAACTTGATTGGTTCCTGGCTGGTTTTCCTTCAAATATCATCGAAGGGGTGTTCCCACTTTGGCACCAGCCTCAATGGGGGCTGCACGCGCAGGAGAGAGCTTCGGGGACTATCCCCAACGCTTCCGCGACAACGTCTCGCGGCGGAGTCGGTCCTGCTACATCACGCAGTCTAGCACACACACGAAGCTGGTCATGCACGAAGGCTTCCAAGCCACCTGAGCAGCCCCAAAACCCCATTTGCCGTTTCAGTGGGTGAATGAAATAGTAGAACCAAGAATCAATGTGTGCGAGACTTGGTCAAATGTTCCAGCTGTGTGTGGTCCATTTGGGAAGGGCATGGGGGAAGTTCCTGATTTTTCCCACAATCAAGCAGGGATCACAAGTTGTCGCACGTGCTCCTGGAAATAATAGCAGTTGTTTTTTGTGTTTGCAGCATATCTACAGGTAGGGCTTCCAAACAAGCGGCTATGGAAAGATAGTGCCTGGCCTTTTGAATAGGACATTTTTCAGCAAAGCGCATGGACACTGTCATGGGAGTAACATTTGGGTGCATTTTAATTTAAGACTATAGGGGCAAGTCTCACACTCGGGAACCCTCCTGTGGTGACTTGGAAGGGACACACAAAGAAGACCAACTACGCAGAGGAGGCCAGGTGACCTTTCATACTTGCTGGCACTGGTGCCTCAATCATGGCCCTCAAGCGCAGCCAGCTCAATCCTCCAGCTTGGTGCGTCATATGGGGGGTCAAAGGCTCTAGAATTTAGTGGTTGCTGGGATGAGGGCTTAGCAACTGCCGGCTCTTTGCGAGCTCAAAGAGGGAAACAGCGCTCGCTTCAAAGGATGCTGCTGTTGAGTGATTTGTTTCCGAGAATTGACTACTCAAACGGACCGCGAAAACTGTGACCGGTGTGCCTTGGGAATATTTTCCTGACGCGACTGCTGTGTTTGGAGGGTGGCTTTTTCATGTATAAAGCAGGGAGGTTTCGCCCCAATGTTGCCAAGCAATTGTAAATCAACATGCCCCCGGGAATCAGACCCGACATTGCAGAACACATATATATATATATACTTTTGAAGTGATATGCCCCCCTCAGAAAAGCAAACTATCTAGTTCGCTTCCACAACTTTGAACGCAGGTCACCCCAAAGGAACAGATGAACTTGAGCTCGTGGTTTTGGAGGTTCCCTTGCCTATGTTCAGGAGCTTATGGATTGGGCTTTGGAAAGGCTCACTGTGAGCATGAGCAGTTGTGTGAGGAAGATAGCGGGTTGCGGCACCATTGGGCTTCCTCTTTTTACAGTTGATGGAGGCGTTTGGTATTTTGTAGTGCCCATATGGTCGTGTCCTTTTGTTGAGTCGGGAGACACCCATTTTGGAGGATCCCCTTTCTGACACGCACTCATATTGAAAGTGCCCGGTGCGCCGAGGAAGACACACTCGTTGACCAACGAGCAGTTCAACGCGATAGTGTCTCAACGGTGCTATTACTGCCACAAGGATTCCGCTTGGGATTGTCTTCTAAACAGCTGGCTCTCAGCTGATCGGGTGGCTGGGAGTAGGTGGGTGGCTGGCTGGCTGGCTGGGTGGCAGGGTGGGGTGGTTGGGGTGGCTGGGGTGGCACACACACATACAAAACGTACACCACACACACACACACACACTAGGCACTTTCCTGCAGCAAAGGAAAGCCGTGCGTCGCCATCTTTCGGGTGGCCAATGGGTCAGGAGCCGCGGAAGCCCAAGACCAACGGCCCAGAGGACCGCGGCCACTTCAACGGACTGGACCGCCTGGACTCGACCAACCGGGTCTACGCCTGTGACACCACGGCGGGGGGTTGGGGACCCGGGATCGGACCCGAGGAAGCCCAAAGCTCACTGGGGAAGGTTGGCGGTGCCCGTTTTTTCCTTTTTTTGGGGACGGGTTCCCCTTTGAAGTCAACCAACCCAAAAAAAGAAGATGCCCTTTTTTACCCATGGCCACTGGGCATCCGAGTGAGCTAAGGACTTCAGAAAAGAAACAAACACCATCGGGAAGGGCCCAAACAACCACATGGCCTTGCCTTAAGGCGTGTTGGTCGTGTGAAGGTGCACGCGTGGACAAAGGGAGAGGAAGCGACCCCCGAGAAAACGCCTGGAGATCCTCCGCGTTGCTGGATTTCTCTTGAGATTTGGTACACCCCGGCAACAACTTGAGCCAGTTATGTGCTGTTGTTCAAGGGTGTGTGTTTCCAGGGGCCCGAAGCACACACACACACTCCCGTCAAAATGGTGGAGATGGCTGCAGTGCGTCACCTGGCAATTCAAATCGGGGCAGTCAAACGTAGGGCCCGGTTTTTGGTCGTAAGGCAGCCCCCAACTTCAGCACATTTTTGTGTCAAGGTATTCCCATTAAATGGTTTGTTGGCTGGGTGCAGAGATTGGTGATGTTAGAGTGGTTGTGTTGCTTGTTGTTTCACCGAGAGTGTTTGTTTGTTTGTTGGTTCGTTCCGGATGTTTTGTTTGTTGGGCTTCGGTTTGCAGTGTTGGTTGTTTTGCAGAGCAGCGTTGGTACATCATCTGACTCATTTGGAATTGGTTAACTAAGCATTCATTCAAAGACAATTGTTGGTTGTTTTGCAGAGCGGCGTTGGGTACATTATCTGACTCATTTGGAATTGGTTAACAAAGCATTCATTCAAAGACATGTTGGATTTAGGCGATACCCTTTCCTTGGATATCCTTCGGGGTTCAACATCTCCTTAAAGAACCCACAATAAAAGTGGCTAGTTCCATCAACTTGAGGGATACAGCTCCCGAACTCCCGTCATGTTGTTCTCCCAAGGATGCCCTTTGTTTGTCAACATATTCTTATTCAACACCAATACATAAGAATCACGCATGTGCGTTAGTTAGATATAGTAAATAATATCGGTGATGTTGTGTGTTTGTGTGGGAGTCAATCTGACCGACGTGCCTGCACCCTCCCTGCGTCTTCGCCAGGCGAAACCTGAACCTTGAAACGACATGGCCGATAGGCCCCAAAAGCAACTGATCTAGGGGTACCTTCCCCATTCTTTCCCGGGATCCTTGTTTTCAGGAAACCAGCCAAAGCCCAGGTGGGAAACAGATCCGGTTTCTGAAAAGAACGATGGTTGATTAAAAAATGGAACAGGAATCACCCCCTGGAACTTCTCGAGAGAAAAAACCCAGGGCTGGACATGAACTGGTGCAAACTGGTTCGGGGACTCCCTCCCCTAGGACCCTGACGGATCCGTCAGGTCGCTGCCTGCGGGGACTGCAACATCATGAAGTACCGCTGGGATTTGGAGGACCGACAAGTTGCAAGAAACGCCAAGTCCTAAGCGGTGGTTAGGCAAGATGCAAGCTCTATGATTAGGCAAGATGCCCCAACCACAAACAGAGGGGCTATGAAACCATCGACTATGCCGCTTTTGATAGTCCGGTGTCCTGTTGGGATCCCTTAGCCATTGGAGTTGTAGCGGCCGATCATTCATGTGCTTGTGTCCAACACTTCTTGGGTATGGGTCAAAATAGGGGTACCCCCCAAAATCGCATAGAGGTTGTTAAGCAGCTTTTCCCGTGAGCCTTTGCGAAACAACTTGTGGTACAGATCTTGGTGGCAGTGGCAAATTTAAAATATTCAGTTTAGAACTTTGAAGACTGAAGTGGAGAAGGGTTCCATGTGAACAGCAATTGGTGGCGGTTTTCCTTTTACATCACTGTGAAAAAGGGTACCACTAACAGCACTCTTTTTTCTTCGCCGTGAGCAACTTACAGCGTCTTATCATGGGGCTGTGTCAAGCTTTGACGGGCGCGCTGGATAGTCAGTCAGAAAGCTCCAACCGTGTGTCAATTGAAGGGATGTTTCGACAAAAGAGATGCTTTACACAGGACTTCTCCAGAATAAAAGCACTTCCAAAGTAGTCTCCTCCTCTTCTATTTGCTTAAGCCCCCGGTAAAAAATATAAATATTTCCAGTAGTGATAGATTCCCTTTAAAACAAACAAGGGAAATTAAAAATATCCTTAAGCAAATGGAAGTCCTTTGTTTGTGAGTGAATGGAGCCAAACAACAAAGCGTTGTGAAGCTCACATGTTGAGTGATTTGCTAAGCGCAAAACCACTGCCAGCCGTTTGTAGTAGGGTGTTGTCCTCCACTGTGCAAAGTTTCGTTGGGCTCAAAGTGAGCCCTTTGTGAAACTACCGTTCAATGTTGTGGCGATGCTGGTATGTGTCGTTGGGGTCAATCGCTGCAGCCAGCTGTAAATGGCAGTCAATCCAGCAAGGAAGCTATCCGTACCCGAAATCGGATTCGCCGGCCCCGACGGTGTCCGTATTTCCGGGAGCCATATAGGTTGGTACCGTTACCTGCGTTTTTAAGTTCCTTTAATTTGCATATGGATTGCCTTCCAGAGGGTCATATTACTTAACTTGCTGGGAACAGTTTTTGTTGGGGGCAGATGTTCACGGAGAACCATCCGTAGCAATGTGTCGATAAGATGATTAAACAAAAAAAGAAAGAAACAACAAGAGAACAAAATACCAAAAAAAAACACGCGACCTTTCAAAGGGCACTTGCTTGCAACATTCTTCAGCAATCCCGTATCTTGGTTTGCGTGCTATATGTTGCTTACATGTTTGTCTGCGGCGTTTGATGTGCATTTGTGCGGTATTTTGAAGATGGCTTATTGCGAAGTTGCGCACTTTGTGGGCATCAAGGAATGAGCCTGCCACATGCAGGTGGTTTTTGTTGATTGCAGCCCGAGAGCTTATTGCAAAGCTGCGCCCAAATAAGCCGCAAAAGCCCTTGCGCGTTTGAGTTGTGTGTGTGCTTGTGTTTTGCGAGTTGCACGACCTCCTTTTGTGCGCTTTGTTTTTGCTACAAGGAAGACTCAAGTTGACGAAGGTCCTTCTTTGGGGGGCCATTTCAGGTTGACGACTCACATAGCAGAACACACAAAACTCTGTAGCTGGGGTGCACTTTAGTTGTTTGGATGGCCAAACAACAGGCTGTGTTGTACGTAGGATAAGGCCACCATCATCCGGCTGGGAGTTGGGGAACGTGACCCCTTGGATCCAGAAAGCGATCTCGCTGCGTAAACCACATGAAAAGATGGAGGTGTACCGGTGTACCCCAAAACTTCTGCTGGGTGTCACAATATCCCTGACTCCGTCCAGAAGGGGCTTCCAAATTGATTGCTTCTTCCGGACCCTTGTTCAAGCCTCCATTTGTGCTACTTACTGATTTTCATACCCCACCCCCCCCACCCCATTCCCCAAGTTCCAGGAGTTTCTGGAGCACTGCCGCAAGGTCGCGCGCAACTACCAGGCCAGAGCTCAGTTCGGTCGGCGCATTAGTAATGGTCGCCTTGCGTTGAATTGTTGCGTTACGCTTGAGCCACAATCAAAACCCGGGTAAGTGAAGGTTATCAAGGGACGATCCCAGCCAGCAATAGCTGCGGCCGCCTTCGTAGTTCTTTACATGGTTCTGGCCGGGTTTTGATTGTGACTCTCTTGGGATGGCTGTGGATGAGCAATTTGGGTTGAGGACTTGTTGGAACTCTTCATTGGCTTGGTGCAAACCTTGGCACTGGGCAGGGAGCAGGCTTGCAATGCTTCACACCACCTTGCAGACGCGTGAACTGTAGCAGTCACCGTGCAATTCATCAGTTGCTAGCATGTTTGGGCAACGGCCAGCAGTCCTGCGTTCAAATCTTAAGCGTGCTGGCTGGCTGGCAAGGGGTACGGTTCAATCATCAAAATACAGTTAGAATGAATGTACCAGGCAAAACCTCATGTCAGAGGTTTTTTGATGTGTATCCCCATCATGTTGACTGTGGCTCGTTGATGATGCTACATCATGCGTGTCACCGCGTGGTGTCCGTCCTGGTTTTGCTGTTCTTTGTGGAGTGTCATGTGTCCAAACCAATCAAGGCAGTCAATCCTGCGGTCGATTTTCCTCCCGGCATCTTCCGTCAAACGGCTGGCTCAGGGGAAGGAACTCGAGGAGCCTGAGGCGGAAGTCGAGGAAAGCGATGAGGCAGAACAGGCCGAGGCGGAGGACGCGGAGGAAGCGGAGGACGCGCGCCAGGATTGAGGAATGCATACAGCAGATGGGAAAGGGGAGGCTTGCCTCGAGCTAGTCCAGATCCATTTCACCGCAAGGAAAACTTTCCGGGAAGACCTGTGAAGAAATCTGTGTTCTGTGTTTGCCCTTGCCTTGAACGACCGTGCAGCAAAGCTCTCCAAGACTCGTACCACGCAATGTGGCGCGATTTGGTATCGTTCAATGCGCTCAACTCGGGCTTGTGCGTTTGATGGCAAAGAACATACGCATCATTTCTGCAGGTCTATTAGTTTCAATTTCGCCAAATGCCCAGCAGTGTCGCTTCATGCGCCACCCTGCGAATTGCAGTTTGCATGAGACCAAAGCTTCCTTCAGGAGCTCTGTCCCGACGTCGTCGACCTGGAGCAAGCCGAGAGCTGTCCTCCAGAGGGCGAAGTGGCGACGCCGGTGAAAAGCTGCCGTGCGCACCTGCTGCGAAGGTTCTTTGATAGAAAAAGGAATTCGCCTGTTGGCTTGAAAGCGAACTCCAAACGAGACCAACCAGTTCAGGGTCCGCTATTTTAGGAAACGCCTATTTGCTCGAGGTGGTGCTGATTAATTTGTTGCAGATGCCGCAAGCTATTCGAAGGATACCCTGCGTGGTCGCCGAGCCTTGCTTCTGCGTCCTGACATTGGGGGTGGCGATTCTTGGCGCTTCTGCCATTTCAACTTTCAATCAGATTGCAGAGTGTCGGGGCTATGGTTTGCTCTCCAGATTGTCGCGTTTCTTCTTTGGGTCTGACTGTGAGCGTGATACTGCCATGAGGCACACGCAGGCTATGCCAGCGGCCTTGAGTAGACGTAGACATCGCTTGAGTAGAGTAGACGGGGCTGCCAGACAGGAATTCACCGGAATTCAATTGGATGTGATTAAAGGGCCAGGGTTACGCAGGTTGCAGTCTTTGGTTCCACTTACCAAGGTGCCATTTTGGTACATTTATCTGAGCCACAGCCAATTGGCTTCCATGAGTGATTGGTTGCTCTCCAGATGCCAAAACCCTTGAGCTTCACCGAAGCCTTGAAGTCGATTCAATGCTGGGCACTTTTTGCCTGCCCAGGGATACACGGACGAGGTCCAGCGCAGACGAAATGACCTCGAGCGCCTCGGACCGGCACTGTAGCTTCAATGGGATTTCTTAGCCACCTTGCAGTGGCATGTCTGGGGCGTTTTCCCTGCTAAGAGGCCATTGAATTTGCTGGTGCACCAGGCATTTTGCCGGGGAAGTTGTATGAAGAGCGGGTCGAACAGATTTATGTATTAGTCAGAGACACAATAGTTTAAAGATGCTTAATCACGGCAACGGCGATGTTAAAAAGCAGCAGTGATTGAATTCGAATTCGTTGCTTTGCTGGCTCTAAACTGGCTTAACTCTTGCAGCGGTGGTTGCCAGAGCTGGAAGGTCAGGCATGAGGAGTCTAATGTATGTCATAGCCGTGTTTCAAACATGACCGCGCGGCTTGAGGACCGTTCACAGCCAACGACGTCGGCAGAACCAAGGGGACGTCCCATAGGTCTGTTTTGGGGAGTGTCTTTTCAGGGTCGGAACCCCTTTTGAATAAAGGAACGCCCTTCAAGGACAAGCTTGTTAAGACAAACCAAATTAAGCCAATTTTCGGAGTTAAACAAATTGGTGGGAGAAGAATCAGCGGGCTGCGGTTTTGTTCTTGAAATGGACCAAACCCGGTTTAGCTTCGAATCCCAGTTTCTGCTGCCCTTTTCCTTCCTTTTGGGACCGGGAGAAGCCTTTAAAGTCAACCAACCGAAAAAAGGACGGCCGCTTTTCCCATGCACTGGAGGGGAAAAGGGGAAAGATCCTTTGAGTGAAGCTTCGGATCTGCGGTGATGCTTCGGATATACCAGAGTTCCCCTTTAAAGTCAAGCAACCCAAAAAGGAGGAAGGCCCTATTTGCCCATGCACATCACATCTGTTAAAGTTAACCCCCCCCCCCAAACAAAGGGCAGGCCATTATTTCCGTTTTCGGGGCGGGTTCCCCTTTAAAGGTCCACCAACTGGGAAAAAAAAATCGGAAGGCCTTTTTTTCCCCTGGCACTCCACTGGTTCCTTTTTGAAAGTCCTCCAGCCCAAGTGGCAATCTGGGCCTCTGAGCGATAGCTCGAGTCGAGGCAGAAGATGGCGGAGGACTTCGCGCGGCTCAAGGCCTGGCGAGCCCAGTCCGGCACCGAAGGACCAGAGGGAGGGTGGAGGGAAGGGGGGAGGGGGAGAAGGGGTGGGGGGTTTGCCAGGTTCATGATTTCCATTTTGGGGATGGTTTCCGTTTGGGTACCATGCTTCTTGTAGCCTTTTGGGTTGCCCTTGGAGAAAAGGCTGTTGCGTAAAGTTTTTGAGGGTCTGGCCTGCCAGTTTTTTGGAGATGTAAACCCCTACTTGGGTAGTTTGAAGGGTTTCTGCAATTCAATCAGCCATTTGATGACTGCCATAGTGCAAGAAACGGGCAGCAGAAATTTGGCAAACATAGATGCAGAAACCTTGGGTATCTCTCTGTTTTTGTTGCTGGCCTTGCCAGCAGTTGGCAAATCTGCTCTAGGTTCGGCTTCTTTGGCTTGAACCCATCGGCATGTCACGCCTTTGGTCGCCGGTGGCCGTAGACGGCCACGTGGAAAGCTTTGGGTGGGGCACACGGAAGGCCCATAGCTGGTTCCGGGGACGGCCCGGAGCCTGTGGACAAATTGAGAAGGGGCTGTGAAAGGACCGAAGAAAAAGGTTCACTAGTGGATCGAGAAGGATCGAGAAGGAAGAAGATGATCTCAACTTGAGATAGAAGACAATTGCGTGCTGCCCCAAACCGCTCTAGGGTTGTATTTTTTAGCACAGATCAGAACGAGGCCTATGGCCTGAATTGACTGGGATGGCAGGACCCTTGGCATTGGGTTTCACAGTTTGAGTGCGGAGATGGCTGACGGCAATCTACTGCTAGCTGCACGTCGGGACTACATGTCCGTATCAGAATCGTCACCAGGGAGGTGCACTTCTGCCGCATCACCATGTGTGTAGTATTCACAGGAGATTCGGAGCATAGATTCTTCACCCGGATGCCCATTAGGCTCCATTAGGCCTTGACTGGCACAATCCACAATCCACCCGACTCTTTACCAGATGAGTCGTGGGTGTTTGGCGTTGAAGACACCGAACAGGGAGTCATGCTATGTCGACCCACTGGTAGGAAGTGGCGCAGCCGCCGAGGGTTTTCTCAGTGAGGCCTCGCCTGTTGTGGTGTCCAACATGCCCGCTAACGATGGTGAAAGGAGGCCCTTACTCGGATCGCAAGGTCTAGGTTTTTCAGCAGTGCCCTTTTACCCTTTTTTGGGGGAGGGTTACCCTACTTACAAAAAAAAAAGGTGCCCTTATTTTGGTCCTCTCTACTGGAGGACCTAGAAGTTATGCTTGCCGACGGTGTCTGCTTTAGGTTCCTCGTTTGGTGGCCTTCTTGGCAAGCCCCGAAAGCCCAGCATTCCCCCCACGCGGTTTTTCCGCAGCCCAGTTTTCCCAGCTGCTGTGTCCTTTTGAAATGATCAACCCCAGGAGACAGCCCCTTGCAGGGTTCTACTTTTTGACTACCCCAGGGATCACTTAAACCCAGGGGCGGTTCATTCCCCCCAAAAGGTGAACCCCTGGGTTTAAGTCTATCTTGGAGTAGCCAACAAGTGGAACCCCGCCGCCTTGTTTTCCCACGTCACCGTCAGTGGCAACCTGGCGCCAACCGAGCACGCATTCCAGGAAAGGGCTTGGTCGAGGAGTTAGAGGCCCTTTATGGCCGCGTGCGGCAGCAGGAGATTCCGCACCGCACGATGCGTCTTGGTCAATCGCCTTGGTTCATCGAGGGCGTTGTATACTCCAAGGGGCATGAGTCACTGTTGGGCAAAGCACACCCCTATAATCCACCAGGTTGGATTCATCCGGGGTTGATATGATGGAAATCCGTGGTTAAAGAGCCAATATCGGTTGCAGGAGAAAGAGATCAAAGCGAAGCAGAAGATGATTGAAGAAGAGCAAGCCAAGGCGGGACTCTGGTGTGTGTCTTTCCATTCCCAAACCTGTTTGTGACCTCTAATTTGTCGATGGGTTCAGGTCTCTGAGGCAGAGATTGAATCATCCCAAAGGCTACCAACAACCGGGCCAGTTGCGATGGAACCAACCCAAAGTCCAACAACATGCTAAGATTGAACCACCCCAAAGGCAAAACAAGGGAAACTCGCGACCAACCACTGGGCCAGTTGCGATTTTTCCCCAACCCAAAGGCCACAAAACAAAGCATCCAACACCTCGGCAGCTGGGTGTTGCCCCTCATCCCGAAAATCACAGGTGGGTATGGGTCAAAGTTACATCATCAGGTTATGGGACCGCAGGTTTTAGTCCACGTTTCCAATTGCCAGGATTCTCATTTGAGCCACAATCAAAACCTGGGCAGATGAAGCTTAGTAAGGGGCAGTCCCAGCCATAAATAGCTGCGGATATCCGCCTTCTTAATTCTTGAAGCATGGTTCTGGGATTACGACCATTTTAGTACCGATCGGTTTTGATTGCGACTCATTTGGGGTACCTATTCTTGACCCCCATCACCAGGTGGCCGAGCTCAACGAGGCGGTGGCGCTGCGAGAGCGGAAGTGGAACTCCCTGGCGGAGGCGTGGAGCTGACGCGGGCGGCTGGGCCCCGGGCTCGGTGTTGCCAATTTTTAGATCTAGGTCCCCCAGCTACAGGGGTCCCTATATTTCCCTCTTTGGCTGTTTTAAACATCACCTTTTTGGCCCATGAAAGGTGAGTATCCCTTGGTGGGGCTGATGTTTTAAGGGGAATATAGGGAGCCCTGAGCTAGGTGCCCTTTGATCGTTTCTTTTTTGGTTGGGAGGGTTGTCCTACTATAGTAGACTAGAGAACAACAAGGGCACCCTTACTCGAACCTCTACTGGCGAACCTAGTTGGTCTACCACACAAGTTGACGCCTGTTTGGGCTGAAAAGTCGAAACAGCTAGTTTTAACAGTGGATCAACTCTGTAGATCAACTCAGGGAAAAAGGGGTGGCTTAGTTCCAGCTCATATTTGCTGACTAGGGTAGCCAGCCAGACTTGCTGATGGCCAAGTTGGACGGTGAAGGCAACTTGGTTGAGTTGGATCCATAGCTACCAACAAGTGAAGGCACACCCTGGTCACTTGCTATAGCGGACTTGTACTGGAAATTGGTCACGAATCGGATGTTTGGATGTGTTTGACAAGTTTGGGCCTTTGGGTTTTCATGAACTCAAACATCTTTGGCATTCTTTGGCGATCGGTGTTTTGCCATTTTCGGAACTGATTTGGATGTCTTCGGTGATGTTTGGTCCTTGTTCATTTGCCGGAACGATTCTGCTCCAACTAAAATAAATGCTCCGTGGGCTACGGCTGGAAGAAACATGCAAAACCATGTGACCCCTTTTTGGGAAATGATTCAATGATAGTGTAGAAGCCCTTATCCCCTGTATTTCTCGTCAAAGGGAGTCGAAAAGGTGTGCAAATTAACATGCAGAACCTGAAGGGGGTTCCCGATTTGAATATGTCCTAAAGATATCCAAAAATATGTTTTGTTGGTTCAATTAATTTCAATTGCAGGGCAGCAACCCCTAACGTACACGCAGGTTTGGGAGATCGAAACGCTGTTTGAAGCTCATGAGCTTTTGCCCAGCTTGGTTTTTAGTGTTTTGCCTCTGTGTTTGGGTATTGAGAGGCATGGTGAGTCAACAAGTAAGAAGTTACGATTCAGCAGTCCGCAATATGTTTGAACAATCGCCAGACTGTTGATTTTCTTGCTATTGGACACTGCAACACCCTTTTCAAACATACCTGAAGGCCCAGGTGATACAGACAAAAAAGTGCTCAATTGCATTTTCGGTATCAATTGGGCCTCCGGGTATCAATACTTCCCTACACTCGGCTCGCAAAAAAGAAGAAGACGGCGCCAGGACTATGGTACAAAGCTTTTCAAGCTGAGGAAGGAGGCACGGGGCTGCTCGCCGCCGGCAGTTTTCCAAGGATTGGTTAGCCATGGCAAGCCAGAGGGCAGGACATGTCGTAAACAGAGGTGGGTGTGGCTCAAAAGAGGGTCCAAAATGGAACCCTGGTAAATGGACAGGTAGACTAACACCCGCGTAACCCCAGTTGCTTAATTTTGAGCCACACCCAGGCAGAAATTTCAGAAACTCAATTGTGGCTTACTATAAGGTACCGAACTGGTACCGACCCGCAGTGATATTTCATGTTTTCGGCTTTGTTGAAGCTACCAGGGCACGGGGACCTAAAAGCACACGCTGAGCACTGCACACATGCCTGCCACATGATGAGCACACCAGTCTGGTGTGCTCAAGAGCAGAGACTTAGCACTGCACACACACACACACACAACTGCCACATAATAAGCACACCAGCTTAAGAGCACGCACTCAGCAGTGCACACATGCCTGCAAAATGAAAGGCGCACCTGTCACATGATAACACACGCGCTCAAGAGCACAGGCTCAGGACTGCGCACGTGCAAGCCGTGATAAGCACACCTGCTCAAGAGCACACGCTCAACACTGCACACATGCCTGCAAAAACAAAGGCGCGCTCGATCAAGAGCACACGCTTAGCACTGCACACTTGCCTGTCACATGATAACACTCGGGCTCAAGAGCACAGGCGCAGCACTGCACACGTGCCTGCCATATGATAAGCACGCCTGTTCAAGAGCACACGCTCAGCACTGAACACATGCCTGCAAAAGCAAAGGCGCACTCGATCAAGAGCACACGCTTAGCACTGCACACTTGCCTGTCACATGATAACACTCGGGCTCAAGAGCACAGGCGCAGCACTGCACACGTGCCCGGCATATGAGAAGCACACGCTCAGCACTGCAGACATGCCTGGCAGATGATAAGCGTACCTGACCACCAGCACTCGCTGGAGCCACACAAGATGCACAAGCAAGCATTGAGTGTCAGATATCATTTGGCATGATAAATTTAGAAGCACGAGGGCCAGTACGAGTCCAGCGCGTTACTAGAATGCAGGGCTTGGATGTTCCCTGTGTCACACCCCAAGGAGATTCCCACGCATGATGGCTTGTTGGGTGTTCCAAAAGCAGATTTGTCTCTAAGAAAGCGTTTGCTTTGCGTCATGTTTCCTCGTCGAACGAACATAGAGCCCATTCTGGCTGGTCCGGGTGGTGCCTTGGATGCCCAAATGCGCCCAAATGTTTGGGTGCAGGTGGTGGAGCGAGGCAGCCTTTGCTCTTGGCTCCAGCGCCTGGAATGCACTGAGCCTGAAAAACTGGCCTGCGTGTTCCGGAACCCTCTGGGTTGGTTAACGAGGGGTGCTTTGAATGGATTGTGCAGGCTCTTGCATTCCACCTTTCGCTGGAGTGTTTAGCTGTTCGAAAGCCACGAGTTATTTCCATCACCCTGAATCATTGGAAGGTCGGACAATCCTTTCACCTTCATAGGCGCCTGTGTGATTTTTTTCAGCTCGGTGAATTCACCCTTTTCCGGGATCCTAAGTGGCGACCCATGTCGATGCTGAGGTGCGCCTTCGACGAAATCCGCTTTAAGTGGAAGGCCGCGGAGGAGTCTGAGCCCCAGAACGGCCGTTTTTGTCATACCAGAAAGAATGCTCTAGGGGTACCTTCCCCATTCTTTCCAGGGATCCGAATCTTTCTAGAAAACCTCCGGAAACCCAGGGGAAACGGATCCGGTTTTTGGAAAGAACGATGGTTGAAAAAGAATGGGGGAATCAACCCCTAGAAATGCAGTTTGCTTCCTCAGCCTCTTACAAGGCAAACAGCCACTGTATCTCGCAGCAACAAATTTGTTGACCTAGACACCACAGGTACACTCCCAAGGTAATAGGGGATAAGTGCATGTGTGGGCAGCCATTGGAAGGCTTCTTGTCAGCGGAATCATGAATATCTGACTCTGTCTGTGACTTCAAATGATGGTGTTCCTTTTTGTGCCTGGCCAACTCATCCCCAGCTGTAGATTTATCCTGTTGCTTTCCGGGGAATACGTTGTGCCGTATGGCATCCTGGAACTGGAACCCCAGTCTATTCATGCAGGCCATAGCAATCGCTTTTTGCCTCAGATCGAAATGGCCATGGGTCAAAATCCAAATCGTACCCGCAGTGAACATCCCAATCCCCACTAAAATGGGCTCCAAAATGGGTGGTGCACCTACCAACCAAAATGGGATCCCATTGGTTTTTGACAACCACAGCCAAATCAAGACAGCACCTCAGAAGAAGTCGATGGAGTCTTCGGACATGAGTTTTGTCCCCAAGGCAGCCTCCCTACCTGTCCAAAGGTTGTCGATCAGATAGATTTGGCACGGAATTGGAGGAGTTGAATACCCAAACTTTGGACGTGGCTTCAGGCCATTGGGTGGCACTGCAGTTCTTTGTGCTCTCAAAATAAGGTTTTTGAGTGGCTTCACGCTGCTCTCCATGAGCAAATGAGATATGTTTTTGATGGGGAGCCAGCGAGACCCAGAGGGCGGACGATTCAGGAAAGAGAAGCTCAAGATCGAGCACCACCAGCGCATGCGCAAGGCCGGTGCGATTCAGTGCGTGAAAGAGAAAAGTGCCCGGTCAAGACACCCCTGTGTTCGCAGCATGTTACACTTTACCAGCCACACACACCATGGTAAACTTTGGAAAACATGTGTGTTTGTGTGTGCACACTTGTGTGTCCGTTTCCGTTGAAACAAGTAACCGCCATAGTCAAAGACGTTATGACCTCCTTACGCTCCGGCTAGGTTTCTCAGAACCTTGCTGCGACCCCTTTTTTCCTGGGAGTGGCCGTTGGTTTCCTTCCTAGACAGCGCAGACGTGTTTGTGCTTGTTTGTTCTGCTGCCATTTGAGCCATTGACAAGATCGCCGTGTGTATTGATTTAGGCAGGACATGCAGGCCATCCAAGTTTGCCAGAGCACGTGGTGTTCAAACAACCAGGTCGCAGCCCAAGGAAAACACATTGGCGGTTGTGAACCATGGAACTTGGAAGGTGTGTTGTCACAAGGTTGGCCCAACCCCACAATTTTGTCTCAAAATGGGGTGGTTAGGTTTCATTGAGACTGCTGAGCCAACCCCAAGCAGGGTTCCGAGCCTTAAGACATGCCCACAAGTCTCCACGAGCCTGGAGTCCCCTTCACTCACCATGATTGTGGGGGACAATTAGTTTTTTTTGTGGGACAGCTGGTTTTAGGGCTATTTGGTGTGTTATGTTCTTTTTGTGGGACAGTTATTTGTATTTTATTGTGTTTTTGTTTTTTCATTTAAAAAAACAAACGCATATTTTTTGTATTTGCTATTTGGTTCGGTTTTGGGGCTATGTGGTGTACCAACGGAAAGCCCCTTTGACGTCACCACACCATGGCCGTGGCTTTCGGCAGGCCAGGGCCCAGGCGCGAATCGACGTCATCGTGCGGGAGAGGCAGAAGCGCCTCATCCAGGCGCGCCACACCGGGCAAGGCTGGAGCCAGGACATGTGGCGAAATGTGCGTTTCTGATACGAGTTTCAGATTTGGATACATGTATGATATGCTTACATGATATATATATATATGCATATATACTTAATTATATATATGTATGTATATGTAGATATAGAGAGAGATACACATGTATGTGTATT